TAATGAGGACAATTGTACCCCATCAAGGGGTACACCCTGATTTACCCTTTGGAAGGTTACAATTGGTCTCCTTAAAGATGCCCCAGTACCTCTCGCAGGGGAACGACCCCAAATTGTACCCCTTAGCTTTTACAGTGGGCTAAGTATAACAAGCGGACTGGCAGCCTACACGCCCTTTAGGTCATTGTGCCTTGCGGCTGGAGGGGGGGCGCGGTGGTGCGGGCGGCGCGGGGTGTCAACATGTATCGAACGGCAAGTCCAAAATATCCGCTGCTGCTGCTGCTTTGTGTGCGACGGGCCCGCCGGCTCCACCCGTCAACTCATTCATCATTGGCGCGAAAGAGGAAGAGGGTGGGCGCGCGGTGGTGCAGGCAGCTACACTGCCAGATTCCAAAATCTTTGAAATCTATTTCCTTGATCTCAGACGGTAGAGGAAACCAAAGCACAGCGTCTCAGTGCAAAGTTATACCCAGCCTTAATGACACTGTGAAATGTAATAAATTTTGTGATTGTATTAAAATATTTTTTCGTCGGTATCTCTACCTCTGTTCAGTCACCCGCACAGCTACGGCGGATATGAGGAAGAGGGAAAGGCGGGGAAAGGGGTGCGCGGTGCTAATGGCTCTTTGGGGGGAAAACGACTGCATGGCCATTGGCCATGTCCCTCACTTGCATTTGGATGGTAGTTACCGCTGGGGATGAGAATTTTTTTTAAAAAAATGGGGGCAAAAAAACTGCCTTACCAGCAAGCCGCCGGAAATGTTTGTTTGCCTGTCGAGCAGCGGCAGCACTCTTCTTGTTGCTCGCGCCGTTGGACAGCAGCTGTGTCCACTGGCGTCCCATCCCACGCCACGACCCGGGGGCGGCCAGCGCTGCCCCTGATCGAAAAACTGCACACGCACGGCGGGGCGGAGCGTGACGGGGGGCCCAAGGGAAAAGGAGAGGAGGGGGCGGAGGTGACAAAATGGGTTTTCGAACCGGGGGCTCCTCCGATCAAATTGACAGAGACATCGAGGATGGACGATCACACGTGAGACTCACCCGCAAGGTGCCAACGGCAAGACGAGCAGCCCACGCCGCAGCAGCAGCCGCCTGCACCACACCACTCAACCACTCGCGCACTCACACTATCTGGCTCGCGTCGCCGTCACACGCCGTCACACGTCACAATGTCCCGCGCGGTGTCACCGTATCGTCACGTCGTCACGCGTCACTCGGGCCGGCCGCTCCGGCGGACACGTGCCCGGACCCCGGCCGGAGCGAGAGGGTGGAGGAGGCAGACGCGACTGGAAGCGGTCCGGCTGGGGGGAGGCCCTCGCGAGGGGAGCGCGCCCCGCCGGCCCCGCCCCCTCCCCACCAGCGCAGCCGGCGCAGGCAGCGCAGCCTCCCCCACGGAGCGCACCAGGATGCACGGCCTCCGTCAAGGCCTCCCGTGAGCAGTGAGCATCCTGTAACTCCACCAGGCAATAAGGATATTCAAGTAAAGCAGACAATAATTGAACTGCACCCTGCTAAATTTTAGTGTCAAAAATTTCTATCAACTAAAAGAGGTGATAAATCTAAGTGGTGGTTCATGGAATTGTTGTAAATTTATTTTTCAGGCTCTTTTTGAACTATAATTGGCCTGGTTTGTTTAAAATAAGTCATTGTTATTGGAGAAGTACAACTTGTTTTCCAAAACTATGTGATCAGACTATTTGAATTCTGTAGTAATTACCCATTCTTATAGTAGGACTCATTTGAGCTCGTATATGGAGTACTACAACAAATTATAAGTGCATCGTCTGTTGTTGGGGGCGAGGACTCCAGACATTCGGATCCTGTCTCGCGGTTCAGAAAACTAACTTTGCCCTTGTCCAGGTTTTCAGCAGGTTAAAGTCAGATTGATATTGACATGTATTATACTATGCCCCCTCTTTAAGGGACCGTAAGAATGAGAACCGAAACTCGCACTGTCTTCCGGGCAATAATGACCCCCCCCCCCTCCCCTAGCAGGTCAGATAATTCAAATGGGGTGAAAGGCAAGGCTCTTACGGACGAACTAATGTCCGCGAGAAAGGACATTACCTTACCAAAGCCGACAGAAACGAGTTTGCTGGCATCCAGGCCGAGTTGGCGCGTTCTTATCGATATGGGTTGAGCGTGTTGCGGCAACACAGGTCACGACTCCAGAGAGCAGAAGCGCGCACCGGTTTGAGTTCCCGCGCCTAGCAGCAACAGCGATACCCCATGCGTCCGCAGGGAATGACCGCGGGGTAGCGCTACCGCCAGGGCGTTGAGCGTGACTCCGCGTTGGCCAGACGTCGGTGTATACTCCACGTCGCCTATACTCCGTGGTGCGTGAGCAGCCAACTAGGAGAGCCCAAAGTGTTTGTATCTCTGTCAATTTAAATGTGTACACTGTATACTTTAAATGAAGTGAAAATGCCGTGTATACTAACGGCAGTGTGTGCAGTGTTCGCACAAGTGTACTACATCAATACGGATTAATTTTTGTACTCTTTATTTTATGCATAATGTAGGCTATACCTAATTGTAGTTTGGAGTGTACTACACGTGCACCTTGTTTGAGTCCTTTCTGCGAAGGTGAAGGTTTTGCTGTTTAAGGCATTTCTTGTGAAGCTCCTCATGACTTCACCTAGGCAGATTTCGGGAACAATAAATCATAGAATTTTGTAAAAATGTTTATTTAGGTATAGGAGAGGAAACATAATCCTTTACAGTCACTTCTTAGGATAGCATGCACACGCGCAATTCAACCAAATTAAAGCCTGAATTTCAAACCCTTGCGACCGGAATATTCATAAATAATAAATATGTACACAAATATCTCAGCAAATGGACTGAATGTTCGTAACATTAAAATCAGACTTTAAATTCGCTTTCTCCTTAACGCCGTATGCATCAGCTGACATGGTAAGCTCTGACAGAAAATAAATTCAATAGCTTAACGGATACATCACGAAACTCACTCTCTCAAATCTACAAAAGAAACATATAAAAAGCACTACATCTACCAACGTTCCAGATAACACACAGGATTCAAGTGTAAAAGTACAAAAAAAGTTACGCGCTTTGAACGTAAATTAAAATAGCCCCGTGTCAAGAGACAAATAGATAATTCTGGAATCATTGAAGAAACAACTTGACGTCTCGAAGAAAGCTTATGCTTATACTCACCGGCAGGTGTCAATAATTTCGAAACCCACCTTAATTTTTTTGAATAGCGAATAACGAGAATACTGACATTTGTCGGTATTTCCTATCGACGAAAGACTTAGTATTCTTTTATTTGGACTTAAAACAAATTCACATAAAACTATAAAATAAAAATCCAAAAGTGATAAGAACGGTACACAGTTCTCATGGAAAAATACTACTATCATGTGTGATTACATTTTGACAAAACAATGAATTAAAATTCATAAAAGTTACATAAAAGAAAGATGGTTGGGACGGATGACACGGGCGAGCGGTGGAGACAGAGAGCCGGAAGTATAGGACGCCTTTAGGCCCCTCACCACAGCCCGGAGGAGTAGCCGCCTGGAGGCACGCGGTTGCGCATGGGGGCAGCACCGCCCTGGGGCTTGTAGCCCTCACCAGTCACGGGGTTACCGTCTGAAACACAAGACACGGAGCATGAGCGAACAACCACGCAAGACGAAACCTTGGGAATGAATGATTATGACGTTTTATGGTTCTTTGTTCGCCCGTTCTCCTTCTATTGTAAATGATTTTTATTTTCTGAAGAAAAGATGAAATGAATGAAAATAAAAAGTAGCTCTTGACTAATTCCTTCTACGTGACCGTGCAAATAGGAGAGAGTTTTCTACAGGGCAAATTCATGCCGGGTGAATCGAACATGCCTTCTTATACGTATCAGCCTGCTTATAACTTATGCAGCATTCACATTCACCAGCAAGAGCGAGAACATGACAATAAAATTATTCAAAAATTACAAGTTAAAGAAACAAGTGGAGGGAAAAGTTCGGAAAATAAAAATAAAAAGAGAATGATAAATATTAACAGGCTCGTGCGTACTTACGACGACTCGGAGGTGAATGAGACCCGGAGCTACACCAAAATCCAAACAAAACATAAAACGAAAAAGGGATAAAGGGAACAGCCACTGGCCCTACAACCGTGCATTGCGACTCGAGAACGCCCTCCCGTGTGCTCCCATTCCAGAAGGAACAGTCATCGAGAGTGCAGCCAGGTGAGCACTAAAGCCTACCACCGTTCGGACGGTCCCAATTTGCTGCCCTAGACAAGTTTACGGCTGCTGCATCGTCCAGGGCGGAATTGGACGCGTCTCTAGGCATTAGCATGATGACTAGGTCGCGTGTAATAAGTGAGGCCCATTTCACAAATTGACTTTACGGATTCCGGTTACCAAAGATTTACGATCTAAAAAGAAGTGGAAGCGTATTTATTTTGTCGGCCAGGCAAAGGTAAGGGCCGCCAAGCTAGCCACTGACTTTCTTCTTAAAGTCAAATAAGTGGAAAAATAGCCAGTTCAAAATCCACTATTTATCATTTCAGGTAAAAGCCAACGGTGACTTTCAATGGAAGTTACGGTGAACCAAGGTATTATCACGGTAACTTCCACAGGAATTCACCGGAAGATTTTGTGTTCTAAAACTGCCTTTTCTAATCATGATGTGCACAGAGGGGCCAGTGGCGGTGCGGGTGAGGAAGGGGAGGGGGTACCTGGACGCCTGAGGCTGCGGCGACAGGGGAAGTGGTAGCGGAAGGGGAACGGGTACGACGGCGTCCCCGGAGTCCCAGCCAGAGACGCCTCTAAGGACGCCGGCACTGCAACAACCAGACACGTGCCAGCAAATACCCACACACATGCACACATGCAAGGACACGCCGCCGACACCCGTGGGAGAGACAACGAACAAGAGAGCAAGATAGGGAGAGAAGGAGAGAGGGAGAGAGCGAAGTGCGGCGCAACACCCCCGACAGGTGTCTGAAGTTACACGTACGTCCTCCGGCCAAAGACCACTCGGGAAAAATTACAAGTTTACGAGAGTTTATGCGTTTTGCAGAACGCCAAAAAGAGGGGGGAGAGGGGGGGGGGCGATGGTGCTCGCCCTCTGCACCACACAGAGGCGTGCGTGCGGGGGTTGCCTATCCCCGCGGGGCTCCAAGCGGCCAGCAATGCACCTCAGCTGGCCCAAAACGCTCGCATGCACCACACAGTGCACACTGTACAGTGCATGCACGGCGCGGTGCACGCCGGGCAGTGCAACTCGTGCGGTGAGCACACACTGGTGCACGGCACTATGTAGGCACTATGCACGGCCCGCGGCGCCGACACGCGTCGCGGTCCATTGGGCGCCAACAGCCACAATGAGCGGCACTACCAATGCGTAAAAATAAACGGCCCGGACCGCATCCTACTCCAATTGTCGTCGCATCGCCGTGTTGTGTTTGTTACAGCACATGGAGCGAGACAATGCAGGGCGGGGGCTTCGGAAAGAGAAATGTGAAAGGGGCTTGGGGAGGGGCACCTCTGCCCAGCCCTGCCCATCCGGGCCCGCCCGCCCAGAGGGGGTCGGACCCTCCCGCCGGGCCCGCCGCCGGGACACGCAGCCAAAATACATCACAGTCACATCATACCGCGATCATTTTAAAAAGGAAAGTACTACAAGCCATTAGACAACGAAACAAAATAAAAAATAATAGTGGAGTGGACTCTAGGATTCACTCGCAGCGCGGGCCGGACGAAATGAATGGGAGGGGAGATGGGACGGGGGATTGATTAACTTCATGATGATGAAGAGCTTTGGTCGGGTACGGCGCACTCTCCCTTTCTCTCTCCCTCTATGTAATCTCTCGTCTTTCAGACAGCAAACAGCGCAATAGACTGCAGGTACAATTAAAAATGTTACGAAGAGAACACAGCACAAACACCAGACAGGAGACAGACATAAGACAGCAATATAGCGAGCCACACCATATTTACACAAGATGTTACTACGAAAGCTACGCGCACAAACCAGGCATGCAGAGGAAAAGATGTGGTGAGAGTATGGTAAGATGAACCATGAATTGTGACATGAACTATGGACATATGAGGCGAGCGTGGTTTGTTAAGATGGCCGTCATGGGCGCTATGCCCACGAGCAACAAGATGAGTCAGTACGCCGTGTTTGGTAAAGGCTCTATGACCCAAGTTAGGTTGTTTCTGTAATAATTAAAAACGTGATTAAGAGAGCGTAAAGGTTCCCGGGCCGCCCATTGGTTATGAGGGGTTAAGGCTTTCTGTTGTAATCTGAGGGGTACGTACTCTTGACCAGGGTAAAAAATGGTGCAACTGACAGGCGGCGGTGTCACTTTCGACTCACTTTGCGGCGGTACAAAGTCGTCTCGTGCATGTTGTGACACCTGTCATGTCAAAAGGAGACTGCAAGACGCGAGTAGTATCGTCTCTGACTCATTTCTTTTTTTTCTGCGCCTTGCTGCTCCTCCGTTTCTGTTGTCTTATTTTCTCTTCAACCCTTTTTTTCTGCAGTGTGCATAGCTGTGTTTGAGATAGAGTCAACCGACGCGATCCACGTGCGCGCCGCCGAGCCAACGGCATTCTATCCGGCTATGACTTCCTTTTTTCCTCACCTCACTCCTCCTCCTCCTCCTCCTCGGCGCCGCGCGGCGATTCAAACCGGGCATTACCGGGCTGGGCGTGGCGGCGCGTAGCGGGGCGCAACGCCACCACCGCAAGCCCGACAGAGAGATAGAAGAAACAAATAGTGAAAAAAATAAAATAAAAAATGCGTGACCTCAGGGACACGCCCCTGTCGCAGACTGCCGCGCCCATACCGACCGCGCCCGCACTGCGCGGGCTTCCGCGTAACAACCACTCACTACACTTATCCCCCCCTCCCCCTTCAGGGCGCACGTGTCCGGAGTAACGGCGCCGAAAAACGCATTTAGGTGATTTGGGCCGGAGGGGTCGGTCGGGCCCAGTCGGGCCGGCAGGGACTGGTCAGTCCGCTCAATTAAACAACCTCCGCGTCCGCGCGCGCGAGTTTTCGTCGCGGCGCGTAGCGTTAGGAAGGGTGGCGGAGCGGGGCACAACGGAAGGAGCGCGAGGAAAGGAAATTTATTGACCGGCGCACGAATCACGACCACAATTAAGGGCAAAAAAGGTAAAAATACTACTACGCGTCGGTGCGAGAGGGGGAAAAATATGGTATAGAAATGGGTCGCGCCCGCTCCCTTTTCTTCGCTCGCCATGGCTGCCCTGTCTGCCCCGTCTCCCGCGCGAGCAATCACTCACAGGAGGGACCTCACTATGCTTTTTGCCCCCCGAACGCGCAGCAGGCAGGCAGTGCTGCCGCGCAGTCGTCGTTATTTTCTCGAAACGCGAAACAACTCCTCGGCGGGGCGGGGCGGTGGAAGTAAGAGCACGGCATGGCACGCCCCCTGATGAGCGGGTTGGGGCGCCTCCCCCCCGCGGCCCGCGCAGCCCACCCCGGCCTGGCCGATGACTCCGCCGAACTCCCCGTCGGCGTGCGTCCCTCGGCGCGTGCGATTCGCCTGTCGTCAAACTCCCCGCGGGCCTCCCTCTCTTCCCCCCCCCCCCTCCAAGTCCGTCCTGCACGATTGCGTTCCGCGAGGGACTCCATCTGTAACCGGCGCCTTCCCCCGCTCGCCAGTCCCTATAATCGGCCCCTCAGGCCTCCTAACCTACCCACGCCTGCTGCAGCAGCGCGCCTGACCCGCCCCACCCCTCGTGACGCATACGCGTTCCCCCAACAAGAGATGTAACTGCAAGATCCTCATTGACAGATTTGATTAAAATTCCAGCTGAACTTAAATTATAAAGTAATGGATTTACAACCGTTTTCCCTATTGGGCAATGTTCGCAAGAAGATATATTGACAACCCCATTCGCACGAACTATCTCAATACCTGCACATTGTAAAATGGTTGGATCATAAGACGCCAAAATTTGACGTGCATCAGAGGACGCCATAATATTTTGGCATCATAGGACGCCAACCAGTTTTTAGTGCACAGGCAGGCTTAATCAGAGAAATGCTCTTATGTTCTAAGGCCATTTAAACCGAACTTAGAGCTTTCCTCATTCATTCAGTCAAGCCAAAATTGTCTTATTCGAAAGATTTGTGAACTAGAAATGAATCAATATTTATTCCCAAATAAGATGATTTGGATTAATTCAAGAAAACCTTTGGGCTGGGTTTAAGTGTGCTTGGAACAGGAAAGCACACTGTAAAAAGCTTACGAACTAAATACTTTGTAACGTTACGAACAATTTTCGTTCTTTGTATTGCAAAGAAATTGTTCGTATTGCAAAGCGATTGTTTGTAAGGCTAGACGGGTCTTACGAACAATCGGTTTGCATTACGAACTATTTGTTCGTAAGCTTACGAACAATTAGTTCGTAATACAACGTTTCAAAATCCTTCGTAAGCTACGAACGTTTTGGTTTGCATTACGAACCTATAGTTCGTAAGCAATTTACAGTGCACTTTTCTGGGTGCAATGCTCCGCCGCTAACCGCTGCTACACACACACACAGCGCATCATCGGTCGTCCCCGTCCACGGCAGCAGGACGACGGTCACGGCCAAGGACTGGTGAAACAGGTCGGGCCTGGACCCACGACCGCACCGCCCGCAACGGCTTCACGGTTCCCGGAAACGACGCCGCTGCAACTCGGCCCCTGCTGCAACGGCGTGGCTGCGGCGGTGGACGCTCCAGTGCAGCGCCGCCGATCAGCCGCGCCGCGCCGTCCCGCGCGGGGCAGGACTCCAGAGCAAATATTTAAACGCCGTCTCCACCAGCCACTTCTTCCGGCCTCCGCCGGCAGCGGTCCAGACAACAACGGGGGGGCCTCTTTCTCCCTCTCTCTCTTTCTCTCCTCCCGAACCCAACACGCCAGCAGGCCATCTTTTCGCAGCTCCTCCTCTGCCGCTTCGCAGAGCAGGTCCTGGTAACGGGACGGACTGTTGGGCAGGTCCGGGGCCGGGCTACCCTAGCCCGTCATTACCGCTCCAGATCGGCGCCCTTCACCTCATCAAGGCGGCGCCCAATCTCAGCAGCCGGCCGCGGACCGCGCCGCCGCCGCAGCGCCGCACCGGAAACCGGAAACGCAGGGTGGGAATCCGGTACGTTTCCGGTGATTTGCCGCTGCTGCTGCAGGGCGCGCGCGCGCGCGTCATCGAGATACACAGCGACAGTGTACATTGCAGCGAGCGCACCCTCCTGGAGTCTGCAGCAGCAGAGACACCGATGGCCGCGCCGATAGTACAGAAGTAGGCTACAATGTGCCTATTCGTGCCTTGTCGCTCCAGCGTGGCGAGGCGTGGCAGTCAGTCTAGTGAGCACAAAGCTCTCCAGAGACCGTTTTCCATTGCCGTTTAACGTTTCCCCACCCCGAAGTCTGCGCCAGCTATGCACACTGCAGAAAATAATGAAGAGTTGTGTGGTCACTGTGGCGTGTCACAGGGGCACGCCCAGTGCGTGTATCGTGGTGCGAGTGTGTGTGTGTGCGTGAGGGAGTGCGTGTGTGTGTGTGTGAGACGGGCGTATGCGTGACAACTTTTTCAACTGCCTCGTGTGGTTCGCTGGTGACGGTGGAGAGGGTGACGATGAGGTGACGAGGCAAACTGACTCGTCAGGTGCGCCCCTCTAGGCGCTTAGGCTGCTGGCGGGCAAGGTCATATCTTGCGGACGATTCGCGGCAACAACTGACGACCCCAAGTTATTAAGAAAGACATTACAAAATAATAAAAATACCCCCTGCCCTGTTGTGCTTGTCGATGTAGCGCGAACAAGCCTTTAGCCGTCGGCGTCGGGACGAGCCGAGACGACCCACTTCCGCTTCGTAGCGTCACTCAAGCGTCGCCGAATGCGAGAAGTGCGAATACCCCTCACCACTCTTCTGGTAATAAGGAGAAAACAATTCAAAAATGACCCGCTTTTTTATGGGAAGCCGGCGCCTGTACAGCAACACCACCTGCAGTGCAGCAAGCAAGGGTGGCGCGGCAGCTCCAACAAAAACAAAAGGCGGACGGTCACAGTGGGATTTTTAAAAAATAAACTATGGCAAAACATTTAGTAAGATCCCACACAAATGAAGATGATATAGCGTTTTATTTCTCTCAGGTGAGTGCCATCCTAGTGAACTACCCATTAGTGTTCAGGAAAATGTTAACATCGAGGTGGACAAAACGACATCTGAACGTCATCCAGGGACCACACTCCCATACCCTCGCCCCACCCGCCAGCAGCGCCCCGATGATGTGGTGTGACGTCGTGTGTGAGCAAAGTTTGACACGTACCTGGCTGTGCAGCCTCCCCCTTGACGGGAGAGGCGCCCTTGTCGTAGCCGAGCGAGAAGTGACTCTGCATCTGGAACTGGCGGCCGCGAGGCTCGCCGTCGGGAGCCTTACCGGCGGCGGCGACCGCGACGTCGCCTGATACCTGCTGCTGCTGCTGAGAGCCTGTCTGTGCCGTACCGTTGCGGGTGGGCGAGCCCGTGGGGGAGCCGGGGGAGGGCGTCTCTCCTGAGGAGGACGAGGCCGCCGACGACGTGGAGCCGGGGCCGGCGGAGGGGGCGACGGGCCCGTCAGTCAGGGAGATGCTGCTGACCATGCCGGGCTTCATCTTGCGGGGAGACTGCTGGATCTCGCCGCCCCCGACGCCAAAGATGTCGCTGGAACCGCCGCCTGGGGGCTTGAGCACCCTGGAACAGACAAGAAAGAAGGGGCACCGTCAGACACAGCAGAACGAGAGAGAAATTCCAGCGCATACCGTTTTCCAACCCCTTTCCACAAACCGATTCGCCAAGCATGTTAGATTGCGTTAGCAGGCCGACTCGTGAGGTGAGCCTTTGAACACCGCTCCGCGTGAGAGGTCAGCGAGCTTTAATATGAATGCATGAGCAAAAGATGCCGCAAGACCTGTTCTCCCATTACTTATATATATTTTTTTGCAAAAAAATACATCATCCTTAAGTTTCACGGAGAAACAAAATTCGAGTCTCGGCAATATTTTATAGAACCACAGAGAGAAATTAAATGTTTGGACTCAGCAAATCTGATAAGCAGCAAAGCAATTTGTTTTGGCTGTCCTGTAATCCACACCTTTTAACCAATCATGTAGCTATTAATTTTTGAACAAGGTGAATAATTGCCCAGCTAAATGGCCTGGAGGGGAAAATAGCTTTCTTTTTTTTTTTGCGCTTTCTTCCGCACTGTGTATATGGGCTCCTCAGTATCGAGGTCTCGACATACAGAGTGCAGCGGGCGGTATGGTACCGCGTGAGTGGCGCGCGCGCTTACAGCAGTAACCAAGGCAACCGACCAATAATAACGCTTGCAACGTTACGGTGAGAAAGGCCGGAACTGACAAGGGACATAACTCGAAATGTCGAGCGCGAACCGCTCCACCACCACCGCAGTACACTACCGTATGGGCACCCGCCGTGGTCGTGCACGCGCGCGCGCACGCACGCACACGCACGCATGCCACCTGAAGAGGCAACAGGCCGAGGAGGTTGTAGTGGTAATAGATGGCTCGCACACATCAACTCATTAACTTTAGTTGGTTCTGTTATGCGCGCCTTCGCACCCCGCGCACGCCCCGCGCACGTCGCATGCTCGGGCGTGCGCACGGAATGGGCAGCAACTACTACACAGAGCAGAGCAGCATGCTCGAGCAAATTTCTGCTGCACCGCGAAATACGAACCGCAAAGGGGCCGAAGCAGTATTACGTGCACCGTTGCAAAATGGTCGGCGGCAGACACTTTTATTGCACAGGTGAAATGAAAGGCGAAGGGAATTGCCCTATAATACGGCAAAGCCAGAGCAAAGGGGGGGAGAGGAAAATTAAAATGGCCTATCTCATACACAATGATAGCAATAAATCTATCCATCCACAGAAATTATAAGGGAAATATACGTATAGAAACAAATGCGGCCGCAGAGCTGCTAAGAGCAATGACCCGGCCCAGCAACAGACACAGAAAAGACTAATTTTCGTAAATGACAGAAACAAAAAGCAAAGTTAATTCTTTTAATAGAAAAATTAGTCCGCGAGCGATAAACAATAGACGTTTTGCTACGACGTGCAAACGTCATTAAGCTGTACATAATGAAGTTCCCAGGGCAGAGCCAGGCGCACTGTTAATTATTCTTTTAGCACTGCCCTTCTCTATCTCTGTCTGTCTCTCTCTCTTTCTCCCTCTCACCAACCGCCCCCGCCTCATCCTGAGAGAAAACACGACTGAAACGCAGAGGAGAGAGAGAACCAGAGATGACGGACGGATAATGTCGGCATCGGGCCATAAGTTACCCGGCCTCATGAAGCTCGGACAGCCCGGCTCCGGCCAGAGGCAAGGCGCATAAAATATTCCGACTATTGCAAATCACAATCAGTGCGGTAGCCGGCGCGAGAGTGCCGCAGGGGCCAGAGAGAGAAAGAGAGAGAGGAAGGACGACACTCGACACGGCGGCCCGTCCGGCGGCGGCCCCAAAGGGCACAAAAACAAAAACGACAAAAAATACAGAAGAAGCAGCCCAGGCCAGGCGTCGTTACGTGATTGCACTTTCACCGTGATGGCTCAAAAAGTACATCAACACCTACAAGAAGATGTTCGTCTCTCTCTCTCTCTCTCCTCACTCCCCCGCCTTCTCTTATACATCGTTTTGTTAGTTGTTCCATTCAGTCCAACATGCCAAGAATTAAACCAACACACCGACACACACTCACTCACGCCTGTTGGGCAGCCCGCCGGCCAGCCGCGCCGGCCGGCGCCCCCCCAACACACAAACACCTCCTCGTCTCGCCCCCACCATTCAGAGCCGTCGCCGCGGCAACCACTCATTCATTCATTGACCGCGTGTCGCGTTGCCGTGGCGACCGGGCCGGCAACACGCCAGCCAGCCAGCCACGCTGGCAGCCGGCAGTACTTGCCTCTGGTGGCAGGGCGAGCCCTTGAACTCGGCCCCCCACAGGTCGCTGCACTCGCCGCCGGGGGGACGCATTTGGCAGGCAGTGGTGGTGGAGGGAAGCCTCTAAAGGAGAAAATTAAGAAGAATATCGTAGAAGGGGGAGGGGAGAGGTGAGGGGCGAGGATTTAAGAAGGGGGTAGACTCGCTCGCACCAGCGGGTGGAAACTCTGATGGCGCTCTGAAACAAGGATCGACATTTAGGCTTTACCCCGGAAAACGCCATTTTGTCGTCCTTTATGTGAGAAAACGGAGAGACCAACTTAAAATCTGAGCACAGCTATGAATTCAGCGTGTTGTTCTGTGTGCATTTCACTTCTCGGGTTTCGAAGAAAGAGGGGCTGTTCCCTAGGAACACACGTTCAATGGCAGACTGTTTCGTCGATTTTATGCAATTCAATCGCTGCATACCTGGTCTCAGTTGCACGGCGCCGGTTATCTATGATAATACAGAGTTGACGACTTCATGGCAGCTTTTTGCACAGGAAATTTACTCAGGATTCAGAATATG